CCCCCCCGCCCCCCCCCCCCCCCCCCCCCGGCACATCCACTGAGGCGCCCTCACCAAATCACCAAATCCCAATCCCCACATTCGGCTATTTCCACACACCCCCCCGGGCATTTGTACAGGTTTCATTTTGTTGCTGCCAGCGCGGTGAAAGAGGGAGAACAAACAGAGGACAGAAATCACAAAATAACAATTTTGCCACCGGGAGGGTGGAAACCTCTTCGCCAAAGCTCTCTTTGCAAACCCCAAAGCTCTCACCGCTCTCTCCCCGCAGCTGCTGGGGATGTGGCTGTATGTGGCCGGGGCCGCCCAGTTCCCCCAGCACCTCCTGGAGATGCTGCTCATCGACCACGGCCACCTCCACGTGGAGCCCCGCGCCGGCACGCAGGAGCTGCTCATCACCCAGCGCGTGGCCGTGTAAGACGCAGCCCTCGGCTCTCCCTGCCCCATCCCCCCTCCTCCCTCGTGCTGCAGCCCCCAAAATCGTTTCAACACAAGACTCCCGCGCGGTTTCAGATGGGTTTTCCCAAGGAGAGAGTCTCTCCTGGCGGCTCCATGCGTGCGCTCTCCCATCCCCTCTCTTCCTCACCCCTTCTTTTATTTATTTATTTCCACAGCCCCCAGGTTTAGGCAAATTTGGCAGGGCACGTGGGTCTCACAGGCACCAACCCCTGCAGGCGTGGAAGACGCAGGCAAGGAGAAGACCTCTCCAGAGGAGAAGACCTCCAAGAAGAGGTCCCTGTGTCGCGGCTGCTAGTCCTGCCCGTCCCCGAAAGCTGTTTCCCCCCATCCAGAGTCAGACTTTAAGGGGATGAATTTTTCGGTGCCAACGCAGGCAGCTCTTTGCAGCTTCAGTTATTTTTGGAGTAGAAAACATCTCACCACCAGGGAGCCGGGGCAAGGGCAAGGCTGAGAGCACCAGCTGCAGGTGGAGGTCAGACAAACACACAGAAGAAATGGCTTAATTTTAACAGTGAGGGCAATTAACCCTGCAGAGGAGCCAGCAGGTGCCTGTGCGGGACTGGGGCTTTGCTGGTCCTTTCCAGCCCGTGGCACGGGGTCTCCACTCCCCTCTCCTGCGTCACCCCATTCCCCTCTCTCTCTCCAGGGGGGACCAGTGTCTCACCAACAATTCCACCTACTTCGAAATCGCCGCTGGTAACGCCACGCTGGTGAAGCACGGTGAGCAGCACCGGCGGGCACAGCTGTCGGGATTATCACCCAGGCTGTATTTTGGAGGGGCTGAGATGCACAAAGGACTCATGTCCACGTTTTACATCATCTGACACGTTTTATTCCCAGGTCGCTTTGTCTGCCTGAAGCCAAGGTTTGAAGCCAAGGCCAGGTTGGACGGGGCTTGGAGCAACCTGGGCTGGTGGGAGGTCTCCCTGCCCAGGGCAGGGGGTGGGACTGGATGATCTTTAAGGTCCCTTCCAACCCAAACCACTCTATGATAAGCCTTGGTGGACTCCAAACAGCTCCCCAGGCCCGAGAGCACACTGGGTCGACGCCGCTCCTGTGGATTGCAGCCCCACCATCAAAAGCCGCACTAAACCCTACGAATCAGTGTCGTGCCAGGAGCAACGAGCAAACCTGCTCCCATCCCTCTAGGAGACAACTGCCTCATTGTAAAGTTATTTCGCAATCCCTCAGGGAAAGGAGGGGAACATTCGTGGCAGGTTTCAGCAAATTAATGAAGCCTCACCTTCCGAATTGTTTCCTCCTCCTCCCTGAGGAAATGGGGTGAGCCGGTCAGGGTGGGAATTGCAAACCCGCCGGAGACAGACTTTGCATTGACCCAGCCCAGACGGCATTCGGGGCCGGGCAGACCCTCTCACGTCCCCCTCGAGCACCATTGAGCCACGGCACCCAGCACACCCAATGGCAGGACGGGAGCTGGGTGGCTTTGGCTCCTTCACGCCCCAGGCCCACATTTAAGAAATACAATTCAAATAAATCCAGAGCCGAACAACTCACCCCATGTGAGGACATTTGTCCTCACTCACTGCTAAGGGCTGGATCCCAGGGGCTACGGGTGATAGTTGGGCTGCAGTACATCACTGCTGCAGCACCAAAAATCTGAATATCACAGCTCTTCCCAACCCCGATTCTGTTCTCTCAAAGCCAAGACCCATCAAACCATGGGGACGCTGATGAACCTCAGCTCTGAAGACGTTTTACTCATCCAGTACCAACTGCAGAGAGAAAGGACATACTCGGGACTGTATCTCTACGGTATGCAAACTCCATCCTAACGTAACTTAAAGCTATCATGGGACACCAAAACACACACACAAAATTACCAGCTACAACCACGCAGCAACTTGGTTTTGCCAACAGTCAGTGATTTTCCCCGAGACCGCCGGCTCCAGGGGTCACGGGAGTATTTACAAATCCCATTAAAACTTAAATCTCTTGGCAGAGCAGAAAGACCAAGTTAAAGACAAAACCCACTTACGCCATAAATATTCAAAGAACAGGAAGCAAATACAGTTCAGCATTGATATCATCGTAAAATCTCAATATTTTCAAGCCAACCATAATTTTTCGGTACTTACCTCCCAGGGCAGAGCACGTGGCTTTGCAGTACCGGCACAGGCAGAGCCGGTCAGATCTACCCACAAGCCCATAAAGCGGCATTTTAGACCTTGATAAGGCTTCCCATTGCCCTTCCAACCTGCAGAGAGAAGTTTGAAGACACGTATAGAAAACTGCCTCCATACTCAGCCTCGGTCCCTCCCGACGCCCCCCAGGAGCACCAAACTATCCTGCAACCCCTTAAAGCGGACAGGACCAGAGCTAACTGGGGAGAGGGTTAAAAAAAGTGATGCTTGAGGTTGGTTTTGTTCAGATGTGTTCACCATGGGGGTAGAGACCCCATCAGCGCTCACCTCCGCAGCACACAGGGAAGGGGGGCACCGAGGGTGGGGATGCGGCACGAAGGGCCATGCCGATGCCACCCATCCTTAGTTAAGCAAACGCTTCTCCTTTTGCAGCCCGAAACCTGAGCGGGATCACGGCCCAGCGGGAAGAGTTCAAGCACCATGCCAAGTGCCTGGGGCTGAGCGAAGAGGAGACGGTGTACGCGCCGTGGAAAACAGTACGGGGCTGCTGGTGGGGGGGGTGAGGGGGGGCAGAGCCGCCGCAGGCCCCAGCCCGGGCAGAGGGGCCGAGACCCCGGGCGGTC